AAAAAAAAAAAAAAATTCTTTACACTCCTGTGGGGATTTGTCTAAGTAGCACCCCAGATGGGTGGATCGTCCGCCTCTACTGCTGGAGAAGGTGTCAGGATTGGAAGAGAGAGATTTGGTGGGAGCTCTGCACATTCACGGCGATCCTTTCTATTTTTTAACTTTAATACGGGACTGCCCTGAATTTTTTGCAAAAAACCCCTTGCAATTTCAAGTGGTAGGATTGGGGTATGTCTTGGGGACCAGAAATGAAAGCCTGTGAGTGGCCTGCAGCTTGACAACCTGCTAAACCAGTATTTCACAACCTTGGCCACTCAAAGATGTGCGGACTTCAACTCCCAGAGTTCCCCCGCCAGCACAGCAGGCTGGGGAACTCTGGGAGTTGAAGTCCGCACATCTTCGAGTGGCCAAGGTTGAGAAACACTGTGCTAAACCATTGGAAAAGAGCAATGAGTTTTCTCTACACCTAGCAAAAAATCAGAAGAGATCTGGCAGCATCATGAGCGTCCGATGAAGGGGTAGCTCACCCAAGTGCCTACCTTCTAATAAAATTTGCTCGCTGGAAAAGTGCTGCCTGATGTTCGGCTCCCCCAGACTAACCCGGCTCATCTCCTACGCCTTCAGCAGGCCTTTCCCACCCAGCTGTAAAACAGAAACCATCCTCCTCCTCTGGAGGTGGGCCACGGATTTCTTTATTTGGGAGGGAGAATAGCAAGACCGCGAGGAGGCGCTGAAAGACGCAGGGGACCCGTGCAGCCTGCGATGTCAACACACCAAGGACACGGGTGCCCTCAGCAGGGAAACACGGCAGGCCTTTGTACACACACACACACACGCACGCACAAGGATATGGAGCCAGGTCTCCTTCACCACCCACCGCTGCTTCGTTGCTCAGCTTTCATAGAGGACTCCGTTCCAGCCACTCGCAAAGCCTGCCGGGTCCGCTGCCCGGATCCCAGCCATTCGTGCGACCCCTGCCCAAAACGATCTCCCGAAGGGGGGGGGGAATGGAAGTTTTTTCCCCCTTCTGTTCTCCACGGCTTGGTCCCCATCTGTTTCCACCGCTCTGGGGAAGGAGGAACGGGCGGCTTCAGTTTTTCAGAATGGTTTCGTAGGCTTGGAAAATGTGCTGGGCGACTTCGGGGGCACGGCACTTCAGGGACAGCTGCAAGGGAAGCAGAAGGAGATGAAGACCACCCGAGCCGCCGACGGATTCCTCGGAGGAGGCAGCGGGGTTAGTAAACCGGAGGACGTGGTATCCAAATGCAGAGGGTGGGGCGGTGGGCGGGGAAGCTAAAAGTTTTAAAAGTTGGGCCAAGTCGTTCAGAGCAGAGACCGAAAAGGCGCTGTGAAGAAGCCATCTACTGTTTTTCCAGCCCCCTGATGTCATATCGCACCCTTTTCCAACCCCAGGAGGGGGACCTCAATTCCCAGAATTCTCAGGGATGGGCAGGTTGGCAGGGGAATTGTGGGAGCTGAAGTCTACACACCTAGGGGGAAGGCAGAGAAGAGAGGGCTAGCACGTTTTCCCAGATTAAGAGGTTTTCCCCTCTCCTCTGCCCACCAGCTGAAACCTCGCAGAGGCCAGCTGTTTCAACCGTTCCTGCCGTTGACAGTGGACCTGGAGTGGGTTTTAACTGTTTTGACTTTGCTCTTGGGACGGCAGCGTTGCGAGAAGCCTCTCTGCGGCACGTGATGCTTGCACCTTGAGCCCAAGCAAAAATTCTCACATTTATACAGAAGGGGGGGAAAAAAGACAGGTTTCTGTAGGCCGGAGTTTAAAAACTAATTTAAGCTTGCAGCAGGAAGTCCTAAAGCAAACAATTAACTCCAGCTACATTTGTCTCTGCAGAAGGAGTTCACCTTAAATCCAACAGTGTTTATGATGCACGTGAATCGAGATCTTTCAAAGCATTTTATCAAGCAAATTCCGATTGATTCCGTTTTCTGAAGATCTCAGCTTACTTCCAAGGACTTCCTTGTCACCACAACTCTAGGATTTAGGTTTTCACCTTGCATTACGCCGTGCCACTGATTTCTAAACCCTGGTTTATAAGGAGGTTTCCCAGCTTGGCACTCTCCGGATCACTAGGCAACAACTCCCAGAATTCCAAAGGCCATGCCGGCCAGGGAATTCTGGGAATCAGCAGTCTGGAGGGTGCCAGATTGGGGAAGATATGAACCAAGCTACTAAGATATTCAGTGGTTGGGTGACTTTTTAGTGTGAGTAGTGAGCATCTTGAAAACTGACACAGAGGGTGTCCATCTGCAACTTTGGGTGCTTTTGAACTTAGTCTCCCCAGTACCAGTCCAACTCTATTCGCTGGGGATGTTGGTATTTGTAGTCTAATGCATCTGGAGAGCACCGGGTCGAAGAAAGCCATTCTAAACCTTGTGCAAAGCCAGTGCTCCAGTTCAAGGTGGCACCAGCAGCTCAGGTTAGAAATGGGAAAGGTGGTTATGCTGCTGGCACAGCCGGAAAAAAAAAATGAAAGGGTCTGTTAAGAAGCGGGTATCGTCTAAATCCCTGCGGTCTGCAACACCCCCGCACCCCTTCCCGCTTCCCAGCGACAAAACCGGCCCTTTCTTAACTTGCACCAGGCAGAGGAAATGCATTTTTTGCAGACAGGGGTGTTAGAAGCCAGGCTGGCGTGGAATTCTGCAGGGGCACGGTGAGAACAGCAGGGTAGCAACAGCTGGCTCCTGAACGCTGGGAAAGAGAGAAGCAAACGTAGGGCGCTAACCTCTAGATCCTGTAAGTTGAGGGGGGCAGGCCCGTTGGAGGGGCCAGTGGCCAGGCAGCAACGGACCGGAAGGAAACAATACAAAAGAAAAAGAAAAATAAGATTACACTGTCGTCCAAAGGAAAGGACTGGGGAGGGGGGACTACAAAATCCCAGAACTTAGACCCAACCAGGTTTTCTTGGGGCGGGGTGGAGGCAGAGGAGGAGAAAAACTTCCAAATCTCATTGCAGTTATATGAAGGGTATAAAAGAGAAGAGGGAAGGTGGGTTTGGGCCAAGATCCCCCCCCCATGAGATGCACAGCTGGAGGCTGCTGGGGCAAGACGTCTTCCTCGTCAATTCAAAGGCTCTTCCCCACGAGGGCTCGCTGTTTGCCTCACTCGGTTTTATTTCAGCCCATGGCTTTTATGACCTGCTTTCCCCAAAGTTGGGTTGGGAAGACTTCACACAAAGGGTCCCCGCTTCGGGTCACCGGACCGGCTTCTCACTCTGTGAGAAGTCACCTGAAGCTTTGCGGCTTAAAACCAGTGCTGGGGGGAAGGGGGGGCAAGGACAGATGTTCCTTATACGGCTGTTTCCGGATGGCCTCCAGATGTGCAGCAACTTTCAGGTTTGCACGACTGAGGTTAGCCCTTCATGGTAGTTCAGACAAGAAGCACAACCAGGAGTACTAACTCTATCTTCATTGTAAGGTGACATTAACACAGTGTTTCTCAACCTTGACCACTTGAAGATGGGTGGACTTCAACTCCCAGAATTCCCCAG